TTAGGGGCAAACAGGTAGGAAATCGAAATTGTCTATACTACTGTTCAAACAAAGGGCAGATGCGTAAACCCCTTTATGTATGAATTTCAAAATTTAGAGGATTACTGATTAATTTCGAATTAAATCCTGAGTAAAGTGTTTATTATGAACTGTGCCGCTACTCAAAAGAGATAACAGTGGCCACCAAGGTTACGGCAAACCTTATCTTACAGACATACTTCCCTGGATTTTACAGGCCGTTTGCAACATGAAGTGCAAGAAACATATAACTTTTCTCATCCCCAGTTTTATTTCTTGTATTGAGAATCTTGAGTTTTGTTGCGTTTCGTTTGTTATTCGTTTGTATCTCTCAGTTTCTGATTTTCATACCAACTTTGATTAGTTGAATATTAACCCTATGTAAAATTTTATTTTTATATTTTGTAATGACTTTTCAGATTTGAAAATATGATATTTCGTTCCCGAGAATATTGACAGTTGCGAGAAGACTAAAAGAATAGCAATGGATTTTGATGATGGTTGGAGGAGGTGTTTCCAAAGATGGAAAAATAAAAATCACATAATATGATTTTGATAACTTTGATACAGTAAGGGCAACTTTTGTTAACTTATTTAAGTTTTGAACAGCTTTCACATGGCATTCATAGGCAATATGAATGCCAACTCTACAAAGGCAAATTCAGCGCTTCTTGTTGGATTTGCCAGTTGGAATTCATGTTGCCTATGAATACCAACTGAAAGAAGTTCAATACGTTAAATGACCATTTTTGGAATCTGTTCATCTCATAAAAAAACAATTACATATTATTATTCAGCATTTAGTTTAAGTAATGAGTTTTTCGTGGTTGCTTGTTCAATGAATAGCTATTCCCGGGGTGGGTCAGTGGTAATAATAATGACGACGTCAACAATTTGTCCATGGCATTCATAGCCGTTAAGAATGTCAATTTAATTTGGTATGGTCATGCTGTATAGTGGCAATACCATTCGATAGTAAATATACATAAATGCATCCCGTATCTTACTATGACCCCCATAAACACACCATAAATGCACGATTTTTTAAAATTTTGGACTTAAGCAAGTCTACCCGTTGTGCTGTAAAAGTAAGCGTTGCTATCCTGTTCACATTGTGTGCTCTAGTTTCCTTGTGTATCTGTGCGGAACAACTACAAGGAAAAGCGACACGCACAAGTGTACAGAGATTTAAAATACATAGCCTTACGCCAGGACAGGACGGAGGGTAAAGGGTCAGTGTACGTGTTGACCGGTGCGTCCATCGGAATAGAGACGGTGTAGTACAGCATAGCCATATGCTACGGTATATTGGACATTCTGGAGAAGGCGGGACTATAATATCGGCAACCTTTGTTGACATATGTACGAACAAGGGGATTTAAAGGAGACGATGTTCGGGTATATTTGTGACGTGTGATCTAAATTGTTTGCAAGTGGTTTAACAGACAAACGTTATGTGCACCTGGATTGTAAGGTGAGTAATAGCAGGATTCTAGAATATCAGTTAAGTGATAAGTAAATTGCCCTTAGTTGCCTCTAATGTTAAACCTACGTATCTCGTTTTAAAATTTTGCTAAGTAAAGCACGTCTTCATGACAAGCTTTGTCAACCCTCAACAGACCTCTCAAAGTAAAAATTATTTACTGCATAAAGTAAGAAGTAAAATCTATTTTCAAAGTCTCTACCTTGCTACAGATAACAGCTAAACGTTGTGAACATAATTTTCTACTTAACGTGTCTTAATATAACAAACTAATGTATTGATATGCTTGTTCAGACAACATGAAATTTCTTTAAAAACGCATTAGTAGCATATTTTTTTAAAAGTATTTTTAGTGAAATGATCCCCGACTGCCTACTGTCTAAATCCTATTAAGTACATGACCCCAAAATGACCTCTTGCTATTGTTTTTCATCCTGTAAGTCTCTATATGACCCCCGACTATCTCTTTGTTATTGTTTGCACCCTGCGATATATTTGACCCTGACTGTTTCTTCTTATCTGCTTCCTATTATAAATGCCTTTGTTATATGTTGTGCTAAATTTATTACTATCCTGTACTTACCTCCATGTTAATAATCTCATAAAATTTATCTTTATTTACCGAGACGCCCCCTTCCAAACAGGAAGACTATTATCTACCCAGGTGCTCTACCCGCTGGTGCGTAAACCTACTAATGCACAACACAAATGACGGATATGGCACTTCCTGTTTACCGGGGTTGTTTCGGTAAAGTTTCTTTTAGACAAATTTCAGATGGTGCTTCGATGTACAACTATATAGGTATATACATTTTTACATTAGTGGCATAATTACGTGAAAACTCTAGGTCAGGAAATGTTTACAAGAAAAAAGGTATTATAAAGGCTAATAAGCCTTTGCTTCCTGCCATAAAAACAGAACATCAAACGTACATTCTAACATAAAGCAGGCACAGTTTAAGATAACCTGTGTAAAATAATTGTTAAAAATCAAAATGCCTACCTGCGCAGATCTCGTCTCGTTCGTTACCAGGAACGCCGGAATGCTTTTCTTCGACCTAAGCGGTATGGCTCGAGTAAAAATGATAAATGTTAACACTTCGAAATTGAAATTGAAATTTAAGGTAATTGCAGTTAATTTATGACGTGCGTACACAGTACTAATGAGTGACAGTGTTGTTAAAACCATAGGTATCTAGCATATGTATCCTTTGTAGATTTGGAGCTGTGTTTTTAGCATATGTATTCTTTTAAATTACTTGTATAGCTACATGAAAATCTCTATTAACGTCATTTCAATACCACCAAGTAATGAGTCTGAGATGTTAAATTACTTATTTCAGTGAAACATGAACACTGGTTTAACAGTAAATTATAAATTACTTCTGTGTAGAAACACCTTTTCTTTTCCTTTTTAATTAGGAGCCGAATCTAATGGAATTACAACGCGTTCATACTGATGTGACCGCTAACAGGGAGGGCTAATGTTATAACCACGAAACGTAATTTAATTGTCTGTCTACAATTTGTATTTGTCATCCAATTAACAGAACACAAACGCCCCAGAGATGAAGTAAATTTCTCACCAAAAATATCTTGTCAAATTGAAATGACATGTTTACGTTTTTTCTATTTAACACTTCCTTAAATTCATTGATTATTGTTGGTTAATTAAATATTTCAAGATATATTACATCCTATTTTGTTATACTACTAATGTGAACGTGTGTGGTGAGATTATGGGTACAAGGTGAAAAGCAAGCACCAACAGTATTAAATATATAACGAGACAGGATAATGGAAACATTTTCAATTTAGATACTCCCCTTTAGATGTGTATTGGAATCCCGTACGCGTTGTATTATTGATAAACGTAACGTATATGGTACACGTAGCTTTGCTGCGAAAGGAACTCGGCCATCATAGCGCCTCCGATACAGTGAACCGCCGAACGCTATCAAACTCACACACAGAACACTCTCTGGGAGTTTTATACTGCACGCCTTAGGAACCCGAAAAGGACTGCTTCGATCAGATATGGTATGCTATATAATTCAGGATATCTGGGTAAAAACCCTGGCATTTTATCAAACGTGGATGTCCAATTAGTCGTGTATAATGTATGCTGATACAAACGCAAGGATATTGAAGTTTCTGCATGTCTCTGAAATTGTTAGCCCCGTTGTCAGGAGACACCTGAGCGAAACGTGTACATGTGTTGGAGTAAACATTGAAAACTGTATACAAATGTGTGAAGTAAACGAATTTTCTGAATGAATGAATTTCTGAAATACATATCTGTGAAAGGGAGTGACAACACATTGTCGTCTGCAACCTTCGGATTTCCGCCGTATTTACATTATTGGAGTAGCAGTGAAGAGGAAATTCATGTAATACAATCTCATGGTACTGGAATGACGTGTCCTTAAGGGATATTGTCTGGTTTCTGTCTTATACTGTAACGCACCATAGAGTCTAAATTTAATGGTCTATGAAGTAATATAAAAAAGACGTCACATGGAAGGCATAGTATGCGTATGTTTGTTCTCGGCGTGATTATATTGATGCACATCCTGAACAGTAAATTTGATCAATAACCGATAAAATTCGTAAATTCTTGTTGTCTAGATAGGACTTAATGTAATTGTTCTTCTTCAGTTAAATTTTGTTTCCACTGTTTACTGAAAATCATTAAGTTACGGTAGTAACATTTGTAAGTGGTAATACAAGGAACGTGTTAGCTTAATGACAATTTATCTTAAATTGTCAAGATATATTAAAAAAATAGTTGTTTTTCTTCAAATATTATCGTTTCTTTTCTACAAATTAGCACATTAAAACCCTATAATTAGTTTTTTATTCGTTTATTTTATTAATATCCTTGAAAACATCTTTTTCTTCAATTTGCTTCAAGTTCGATTAAACTGACAAGGCTTTTTAAAACCTGGATGCAGGACAGACCACTTATGGAAGACTTGTTCACATCGTAAGAGTTTTAATAAGAATTTTAAGAGACTTTTTTAAATGAAATACATTTGTAATTTAATCTGAAAGCAAACTTAATATTTTACATGTTGTACCTTCATTAACTCCTTACCAGAAATCAAAACGTTTTAAATTATTTGTTGGATAAAGTTGTTGAGTTAAATTGCAGTCAAGCTGATCATACTTTCGTCAACTTAGCCTGGTTAGTATTATTTCCTTTTAGTACAATAGTGTCGTTTGTTTTTGTAGATTTATTTAATTCATTGCATCAGTTTAAAATGTTTCTGCTTACATAGCGTATACACGTCGTCTATATGTTAGGTAAATCATGCGTAGTTCGAAATCCTTTCTTGTGCTCGATGGAAAATCTCCAGACCGCCGTTTAAAAAATTGGTCTCCGTTATCAAGTTATTTAATCACATAACAGAGAGACACCTGTACCCTATTCCTTTTACGTATCTATATGTTTATCATTGCAGCAAGAACATATTGTCCAGCCTAACGTTTCAATAGTTCACTCCTGGAGTGACAGGGAAATGGATTTGAATTTTTATGGAATTGACTCCAAGTTATCGCGTTGCTATATATAGTTCCTGGCTGAATCAGATTTTCGGAGCCAGAGTGACTTAATGTTGATTGGCTTCATTATGGAAGATGAATGCAGGAATAACACGTGGGTTCTTGACATACTATGAGCTGTCTATTATAGAGGAGTGTAATATGTGGATCGGTGTATTATGATTTATGATAGTAAATACGGTACGGAGTAACATAACACGTTATAAATTGGCTGTGTACAGTTTACATCTGTGAAAACTGGGTTATCTAAAGGGAGTAAAACTTATTTAGATATATATTTCTTTGATAGTTTCTGCTGTAAATTCACTTATTTTAGCTGCAGTAATATTTAAGTATTACACCTTAATATTAGCCAGACATGCTATGGTTGTATTACTCTTCTGTTATAATAATAATACTAATATACAACATTTATATAGCGCCCTATATAATTTGTAAAATTACTCTACACTGCTTTACAACATATGGATAATAATAATGGTTATAATTGTGAAAACAAAAAAACAAAGGCTTACAATCACTTTTATACATTTAAGCAAGCAATGTGCACATAATTGAACAAATAAAAGGGTGGTATTTACATGACGTCTTTGCAAGGATTCTAAAGTGCAGACCTGAAGAGGTGAGTTTTGATGTCCCTCTTGATGCCTTTTACTTGATAATTATCAGTTATTCATGGATACATGTTTGGGTTTACATACGTAAGATAATAAGAATAAGTACGGTAATATGAATGTAAGTTACAATGACATGGGTGCGTTATTACGGGTGTAAGTACGGCAGTGTGAGTTTATACAGTAGCATGTGTAAATGCAGTAATACATGTATGAGTTCTCATGGTAATATGAATGTAAGTTACAATGACATTGGTGCGTACGGGTGTCAGGTTTAGCAATATGGGTGTAAGTACGGTAATGTGAGTTTATACAGTAACATGTGTAAATGCAGTAATACATGTATGAGTTCTCATGGTAATATGAATGTAAGTTACAATGACATGGGTGCGTACGGGTGTCAGTTTCAGCAATATGGGTGTAAGTACGGTAATGTGAGTTTATACAGTAACATGTGTATATGCAGTTATATGAGTTACCATGATAATATGATTTAGTACGGTAATATGGTTTAGTACGGTAATATCAGTTTACGTAAATAGGGCTGTTTTTGAAGTTTTCTAGTATTTCTTATCTCCAGATGTACATACGGACGCTCTGTTTATGTTGTAGTATAACATCCTCATTGCTATTTTTTATGATACAATATTTCTGATAGAAAAAATACATCCAATATAAACAATATAGTCCCTGTAAACTGATTTGATTTTTCAACACATAAACATATGACATTAGAAATTTCAATTTATAAATTTGTGAAGCTAACATATCATTTGGCATCTGTGAAATGCCGCTTCATCGATAATATATCTTCTTACTTTGTTGTAAATGACATGTTATAAGCCACACAAGAACAGGAAGATTACTTTTGCCCAATCGTCTATACATCACAAGATACCGAGCCATGTTGACGGTCTGTACATAAGCTTTGTGTGTGTGATAGCATTGTGAAGCAGCTATATCAATTTATATTAGATAGATAGATATTTGTAATTGATTGTAAGCACGTCTCGCCACACGACGTTTGTTAGAAAGTAATCATAAAGTTGGCTCAGAAAGACACTGCTTAGAATAAATAGAAAAGAATGTCTAGGTCTATATGCTTTATATCAGCAACACTTACAAGCACAAGCTGTCTAGCATTTGTTACCCTTTCAAACACACCATCCAGCCATTCCCCATAAACTACGTGTTGAATGTAATTTTTTGTGTTGCCTGTTTTCCTGTAATAGACTGGTTATTTTGTCGTTTCACTTGGGTATATCAATGAAGATGGTTTATTTAACGAGAGACATTATTACTGTCACGTTTTGTTCGGGAAATGCTTACCCTTCAGAGACACCATGGCCAGGGCCCGTATTCATGAAACCATTCTCATGCTCAAGCATGGAATCTGTGCTCAAACCAACTTTCTGGTAACTCGCTTAGATCATGTCAACCGATCAAAAAGTCAAATATAAAAATCGAAAACAGTATTTGGCTATAAGTCTCTTCAATATGTTTCCAAATCATTGACAAAATTAGATTTATTTATTGAGTTATAACCAGAACAAGAAATAGGCTTGAGCTCAAAATCCAGGCTTGAGCATGAGACCGGCTTCATGAATACGGGCCCTGGTTTTACCTCCATTGTTATGTGGATGGTTGTTATGCTTTTCCTTTTATTTTGCTCATGATGATGTCTTTCCTCCTCTTTTGCCGTCCCTGCAAAATTGTTTGCTTCTCCTCGGTTCCTGTTGATGTCTTTACCTTTTGTTTCGATGTCTCCCCGTCTCCTGTTGCGGCCCTTTGCCTTGGTATCGCCTCGGTTCCTGTTGTTCTCTTTACCTTTTGTTTCGATGTCTCCCCGTCTCCTGTTGCGGCCCTTTGCCTTGGTATCTCCTCGGTTCCTGTTGTTCTCTTTACCTTTTGTTTCGATGTCTCCCCGTCTCCTGTTGCGGCCCTTTGCCTTGGTATCTCCTCGGTTCCTGTTGTTCTCTTTACCTTTTGTTTCGATGTCTCCCCGTCTCCTGTTGCGGCCCTTTGCCTTGGTATCTCCTCGGTTCCTGTTGTTCTCTTTACCTTTTGTTTCGATGTCTCCCCGTCTCCTGTTGCGGCCCTTTGCCTTGGTATCTCCTCGGTTCCTGTTGTTCTCTTTACCTTTTGTTTCGATGTCTCCCCGTCTCCTGTTGCGGCCCTTTGCCTTGGTATCTCCTCGGTTCCTGTTGTTCTCTTTACCTTTTGTTTCGATGTCTCCCCGTCTCCTGTTGCGGCCCTTTGCCTTGGTATCTCCTCGGTTCCTGTTGTTCTCTTTACCTTTTGTTTCGATGTCTCCCCGTCTCCTGTTGCGGCCCTTTGCCTTGGTATCTCCTCGGTTCCTGTTGTTCTCTTTACCTTTTGTTTCGATGTCTCCCCGTCTCCTGTTGCGGCCCTTTGCCTTGGTATCTCCTCGGTTCCTGTTGTTCTCTTTACCTTTTGTTTCGATGTCTCCCCGTCTCCTGTTGCGGCCCTTTGCCTTGGTATCTCCTCGGTTCCTGTTGTTCTCTTTACCTTTTGTTTCGATGTCTCCCCGTCTCCTGTTGCGGCCCTTTGCCTTGGTATCTCCTCGGTTCCTGTTGTTCTCTTTACCTTTTGTTTCGATGTCTCCCCGTCTCCTGTTGCGGCCCTTTGCCTTGGTATCTCCTCGGTTCCTGTTGTTCTCTTTACCTTTTGTTTCGATGTCTCCCCGTCTCCTGTTGCGGCCCTTTGCCTTGGTATCTCCTCGGTTCCTGTTGTTCTCTTTACCTTTTGTTTCGATGTCTCCCCGTCTCCTGTTGCGACCCTTTGCCTTGGGATCTCTTCGGTTCCTGTTGTTCTCTTTACCTTTTGTTTCGATGTCTCCCCGTCTCCTGTTGCGGCCCTTTGCCTTGGTATCGCCTCGGTTCCTGTTGTTCTCTTTACCTTTTGTTTCGATGTCTCCCCGTCTCCTGTTGCGGCCCTTTGCCTTGGTATCTCCTCGGTTCCTGTTGTTCTCTTTACCTTTTGTTTCGATGTCTCTCCGTCTCCTGTTGCGGCCCTTTGCCTTGGTATCTCCTCGGTTCCTGTTGCTCTCTTTACCTTTTGTTTTGATGTCTCCTCGTTCTCGGTTGTTGGTTTTCCTTGGGTTTTGGCGTTTCCTCGTCTACTGTTGTTGATTTTCCTTGGGTTTTGGCGTTTCCCCGTCCGTCTACTGTTGTTTGTTTTTGCTCTGGTATCTCTGCGGCTTCTGTTGTTGTCTCATAGCTATTGACTTCGAAATATTATTATGTTCCTGTGTTTTTGCTTTCTACTGTTTTTATTTCTGCTATCTAACAGGTCATCTGTTTTCACAAGTCTCGTGTTGGAAATGTTCGTACAGCTTGAAATATTATTTTTCGTTTCGTGAACATGACATGAACTTTTGAACTGGTTTAAATATTGATTTTGTTTTACTTGTAGACTCTTCTATATTATTTTGTCGTCTTTTTATCATTGATTATTTGATTGAGATCGTTCTTTTCATCTCTCGAATGCTTTGCAGAGGTTGAAATATTATGCATAGCACTGTTTGCATACCAGTAATCAATTACGTTTTGTAAACATACCTTTGAAACTACGATAACATATATTGTAAAATCGAAATGTACACACTGATATGTTCACGCCATGGCATCGGGATTTTTTTTCAAAATTCAAAACTCATTGAACCATTTGAAACCTTTTAAATAGAATAAAAATGTGACAACGTCAACACAGTAGGACAACATTGAAACACAATAGATAACATCGACCGGTGAAATATGGATTTAATTCATAAAACATACATCTTCCTTCAAAAGAATAGACTGTCGTGTATATTATTTGTACAACATTCTAGCATGGGTTTTTTGTTGAGCTTGCTCAATATTCAAATCTCTGTAATGTGTTGACATTTCGCTTTCAAATCATCTCAATCTTGAAAATGTTTATATATGAGGGCATAAACCATTGTTTTAATCTTGCAAAATGTATCGACGTGTAAATCTGAAGTAAGGATATAATGGATATGTTTGACTTGACCAAGTGTTTGTATTTATAACAGTACACATGCGGACAAGAGTTGGTATAACGGGGTTAGTACACGTTTGTTTGTTGACGTTGGACTCATAACATTGCGAGCTTAACATGAATATTCATCCAAGAGTACTTTCCAAAATATTTGAAGTTAGAATAAAATGTACATTGATTTGTGTTAAAAACGATCAACTGCTAAAGAAAAACACATTTGTTGACACAAATGTTTTCAATATTTCAATTTTAAATATTTTTCAAAATTTAATTTGTTTGAATATTTTTCACCATGTGAAGCCGTCCATACTTTGAATATATTGACTGTTTCTTGTTAATCCACAATAACTATGATGAAAGCCTAGAATTCATATCATCTAGAAATACATTGAATGTTGAACAGAATGTGTACGTGTTAGTATCCATAGAGGGTTACATGCATTTAATGGACATATGTGCCCCATGATACCAAGTCAGTGATGGGTGTGGTCAATCAGATGTTTACCTAGGAGAAGTCAGGTGCGACAACATCGTATATTTCATCTAGTCTTGCCCTTGTCATGCAACTGTAACCAATTTTCACAAAACTCTTTTTAAAATATAACTTGACACAGCAATTTTAAGACAGAAATTTTAAAATAAATCTTCAGTACTGAGTTTTCGGAACATGACAATTTGAAAGACTATCAACTGACCATATATTTATTCAACCGACTTACAAAAAACAATTCAAACAAATAGATTCACATAAATGATTTACTTGATAAACCCATACCCTCGAGCACACCAATCTCTGTAAAAGTTGCTTTTAACTAACCCATGCATCCTAAGCATTATTACTAGTACTGAAGTGAACGCGAGTGTCTTTGTTGCATTAAGAGATACCTTCTTTATACTACAATATAAATAAATAACGCAGGTAGTTGTATTCTGGTTGGTATGGCAACACGTGGCTACACTCGTGGTTTTATAGCGATGACAGCAATAGATAATATAACAATTTTGTTGGATGACGGCAACGACTTTGGGGGTGTTTTTTATCACTGTCATCACGTGGGCGAGTCATGCTGCTGATGATTCCATCCCACGTGTTTTTCCTGTTTTGTTATGATCACAATCAGCGAAGTTTCTCTTTATGTGTATGCTTGATAACAGCTGATTCAATTCTCAAGATTCGGTTTTCTCCAGTATCTTTACCTTGATGATGCAATGCATGCGTGAGGATTTAAATTGTCTATATCTTCATACACATCAGAAATACAGCAACATCTTTATTTATGTTCAGACGAAAATATACAATGAAGACTAAAATACTCGCACGTCTGTGGATTTTCAGTGTAATACCCATCTACCCAAGACCATGAGTGTTTACGTGTATTTCTTTTGGAGTCAAATACTCAAAGCGTCTCTTAGCCTTCTTTCAATGTAAAAGTCTTATGGAATTTCAATGTTATACCCATTTTGTCTGTAGATTCTTACCGTGTAATACTTACACCGTCTTTTAGCCTTTCAATATATAACTCTTACGTCTATGGGATTTCACACTTATAAGACTATTCAGTGTTCCAATGTTATACATGAACACGTTTGAGGAGTCTCAAAGTAATATTCCTATGTAACATGTTAGCCCTCAGTCCTCATACCTCTGTGGAGTCTCAAAGTACTCCTATGTAACATGTTAACCCTCAGTCCTCATACCTCTGTGGAATCTTTGTAAATACTCCTGTGTTAGCCCTCAGTCCTCATACCTCTGCGGAATCTTTGTAAATACTCCTGTGTTAGCCCTCAGTCCTCATACCGCTGTGGAATCTTTGTAAATACTCCTGTGTTAGCCCTCAGTCCTCATACCGCTGTGGAATCTTTGTAAATACTCCTGTGTTAGCCCTCAGTCCTCATACCTCTGTGGAATCTCTGTAAATACTCCTGTGTTAGCCCTCAGTCCTCATACCTCTGTGTAAGCTTTGTAAATACTCCTGTGTTAGCCCTCAGTCCTCATACCTCTGTGGAATCTTTGTAAATACTCATGTGTTAGCCCTCAGTCCTCATACCTCTGTGGAATCTCTGTAAATTCTCCTGTGTTAGCCCTCAGTCCTCATACCTCTGCGGAATCTCTGTAAATACTCATGTGTTAGCCCTCAGTCCTTATGTTAGCCCTCAGTCCTCATGCCTCTGTGGAATCTCTGTAGATACTCCTGTGTTAGCCCTAAGTCCTCATATCTCTGTGGAATCTTTGTAAGTACTCCTGTGTTAGCCCTCAGTACTCATACCTCTGTGGAATCTCTGAAAATACTCCTGTGTTAGCCCGCAGTCCTCATACCTCTGTGAAATCTCTGTAAATACTCCTATGCTAGCCCTCAGTCCTCATACCCCTGTGGAATCTTTGTAAATACTTATGTGTTAGCCCTCAGTCCTCATACCTCTGTGGAATCTTTGTAAATACTCCTGTTTTAGCCCTCAGTCCCCATACCTCTGTGGAATCTTTGTTAATACTCCTGTGTTAGCCCTCAGTCCTCATACCACTGTGGAATCTTTGTAAATACTCCTGTGTTAGCCCTAAGTCCTCATATCTCTGTGGAATCTTTGTAAATACTCCTGTGTTAGCCCTAAGTCCTCATATCTCTGTGGAATCTTTGTAAATACTCCTGTGTTAGCCCGCAGTCCTCATACCTCTGTGGAATCTTTGTAAATACTCCTGTCTTAGCCCTCAGTCCTCATACCTCTGTGGAATCTTTGTAAATACTCCTGTGTTAGCCCTCAGTCCTCGTACCTCTGTGGAATCTTTGTAAATACTCATGTGTTCGCCCTCAGTCCTCGTACCTCTGTGGAATCTCTGTAAATACTCCTGTGTTAGCCCTCAGTCCTCATACCTCTGTGGAATCTCTGTAAATACTCCTGTGTTAGCCCTCAGTCCTCATACCTCTGTGGAGTCTCTGTAAATACTCCAGTGTTAGCCCTCAGTCCTCATACCTTTGTGGAATCTCTGTAAATACTCCTATGTTAGCCCTCAGTCCTCATACCTCTGTGGAATCTTTGTAAATACTCCTGTGTTAGCCCTAAGTCCTCATATCTCTGTGGAATCTTTGTAAATACTCCTGTGTTAGCCCTCAGTCCTCATACCTCTGTGGAATCTTTATAAATACTCCTGCACCAGTGTGGACTGTTTTGAGTTTTAAGAAGCTCTATACAAGATGATCCCACCAGACATTTGAGAATAATTTGTTTTATAAATTGTGTATTATCCCATTGTCTGGACGACTGTAATTACATTTTATTGTGTTTGCTGTTTTTGTGTCGCGAAAATCATTTCGTCACTAATACCTTAACAGTTTGAGTGACTTATATACAACAAAGCCTCGCTATGCTGCCACTATTGTTTACAAAAGGAAGCCTTGAGCTATGCTTGCAGTAAGCTAGGTGGCGAATGAAAGATGGGTTTTATAACGAGGTTTAATTGGTTATATGTATATTTAGTTTGCACTGAACGTATATTTCTTATGATTTCGGGGTTTATTGTGAGATAAGCACTCTAGTCTTTTCCTCGGACGTTATCACGCGATTTCCACTGTTGCTTAACGATGTGATTTTCATACGACTTAACTCCTCGGACCTTTTCGTCCGACTGCCACTAACAAAAACACCCAACGTGCCTTCTCCAATTCCGATATTTATTTCACTCCTCGGGCCGTATTCTCTAACTTACATAGTTAATGCATTCTTTTTGTCTTTTTCAGTTACGATGATTGTCCTATTTATGACTTCGCTCCTCGGAAATAAATGTACGCCTTCCTCTGCCAGTAGTAACACTGAAGCTAGTGTGCAGTTTGACCTGAATCTGAGGATTTAGCGCGCGGTACACGAATCAGTGTTGAAAGCAACGAGTCGACGAGTGCACCAACAGAATGAAGTAACATACCAGCAGTTGTACTGTATCATCAGTATATACCCAGTGTGTCTCGGGGATTATCGTTTTCGTTTCGACGCCAAAAAGGATTATCTTACAGATAAAGAATACCTAAGAGTGTATATATTTACCAGGAATCGTCATATGCAATGCATAATTGAAGCATTATACGGCATGGGAATTAAAGCTTTCCTACAAATTCAACGTGTCGCTTAGTGGTACGGTTCCTAACTGGAAAGCTGTAATATTTTGTGTTAATAATTTAATACAGTTACTGGCATTTTGAAAGCTTGTATATGAATTTAACATCAAAGAGGATTTTAACTTACTGCAGAAGTAACAAAATATCTGTACTTGCTTGAAATGGTTACAAGACTGTTTAGATTTTATAACAAGTTGCACAAAACTTTATAAAACCGTGTATCTCGTTGTTGGTAGTGTTACCACTACAGCTGTGTGCGTGAGCGCGCGCTAAGGTTCGTCACCCGTGAATAATTACCTCCAAGTGCAGTTCAAGTAATTCCCTTCTCACCAACGACAATGGCTGTTACAAGCCTGAATGGGACGGAGCAGACGATATCAGCCTTTGTGCAAGATATCATCAGATACGCTCGTCAAAAGGTCGAGGACGGTGAAGAGGATATAAACAATATCGAAGAAGGAAGTGCTGAATCACGAGACGACTTGACCACTTCCGGTCATCTCTGCAACGGTGACGCCACCGAAGAGGAGGTAAGTGGAACAGCTCTTTTATACACAGGCGTACAAACACTCGCATACACATGGTTCATGACCCTACGCACGGAATTTCAATTACAGCGTTTAGCAGTTATTTCCACTTCATCAACGCATATTATAATACGTGTTTGTGTTACTGTTAGTAATATCAACAGGACTTTTAGAATTTTAACACAGATGACTGGTACGGTACGCCACGAATTCTCCTGTAATGAATGCAATACTTATGTGATAATAACATGCTATGCCTGCAAGTTCGCGAAAACCTGTTTACCATTAATAGAAGGTATGCCAGGTACTCTATTGTTTGTTTATGCAGTGTGTGAAGTTGTCGATCGGATACGTCATTTTTGTGAGGGTTACGTGTTTGGAATGTATGGAGGAGGAGAGGCATCGCTTACCCCTTTGTGCGATATTCAACCACTGAACTGTATTGTTATGGCATTTACGGTCTGTATGAATGACATAATTTTTCATACACACATCACAATGTACGCTAGCGCATTATAATTTTTTTGTTTTGTTTTAAAAGACGTGTAACGCACATTATGAAGTTTGCATGCAAAAATGTGTCCTTCAGATAGATTGTAAATGCCATATCATACATATCAATGCTTATAATAACCATTTTCTTAGTATTTAATATTTCAAATTATGCTTATTAAAGCCCCGCAATAAAAAAAAAATAAGCGTATGAATGGAACATTCATCTTCAATGAAAGTCAAAGTATCAATAGAATATTGATAAAATATCATAAAACATAATCACACGAGTGTTAACATCAAAAATCTCAACTGAGGTGATTTACTTTATAGCACCATAATATATTGTAAATCTGATACGAAATTTTTCCCTGAATAGAAATTTGTTAATAAATACACAATTTAAATTGAAAACGAGGTATAAGTAAAATACTTAGAACTAACAAACAATTTCTTTTAATGCTCAGTTGATAAATGTTCTGTACAAAAGACATTCTGCTTTACAAACCTGTGAAATAATAATGTACTTCAAAACGTACCGTAACTATTTCGAATTTGTCAAAATCATTAATTGATCGCTCTATCAACAATCGCAAACACGATTCTAGGTGTTACAATCATAACACTTGAGACTTAACATCAATCCTTACTGCAATATGTATTATACTTAATAAGTGTGTAACCCTGTGGTTAGAACAAACATTTCTGATGGTAGGAAAGGCGATAAGAGGTGTATGAGATGTATAATTTAGGCTCACATCGATCTAATTTAAAATTTAGAAGAAAAACGTAGAAACAAAATACGCTTATACTTCCGGAACGTTTGGTCTTGTTATATTCTGTTCTTTAAGGGATTTCCGTTTAGGTAGTTCAGATGTGCTCAATATTGCTCTAGTTATATCGATTCCAACGTCGAATTATTGTTTTTAACATCGCTTCATACTTGCTTTCTTTCAAAATAACAATTAATATTTTCCCAATGAACATAACAAAGTATTCTAAAGTAAGTAATAATAAATATGTAAATATATGTATATATTAAAATACATTGTATGGCCTTTTATTTAATTTTCCTTAACATTAATAGATTAAATCTGAAAATGTAATCATGAGATGAGATCTGGAACTCAAATATACCTCAGTCCTCTCTCATTTCGTTAAATCTTAAGTGATGCAAGTTGAATCACTCGGCTAGGAATTGACGAGATCCAATCTGCCGAGAACTGAATCAGTGCGCAACACTACTGCACTGTTCCCCCCATCTGAACCATTAACATTAAAACGAATACATTCCAACATGCAGTAATGCTATCTCTGGCTCCAGCTAAGCAGTATATCGAAGACTTTTTCGAGCCTAACATGTCGTTAAGAAGAAGATTGGGGTCAGAAAAGGCTCCTGATTCATCCCTAGAGGATTTGGACTAACTCCAATCACAGTTTTCTTCGATAATTTAATACTCGGGAGTAGATTGCCTTGTATGACCAAGTTTACCAAGTAAAACGTTACGTTCGATAACATAAAATTTGAAATTGCCTTTGTAAGAAGGAAGTGTGAGTTTTGTATTCTAAACATATTTTCAAAAACAAAACCTTTGAAATATCCTATTACTGTATTTTCCCATATAAAATATAATAAAGAATCAAAGCAATCGTCTTTTTTTAGAACAGAGTAATGTGTTGTATACGATCAGTTTATAAATACCTTCCCTAAAAGAACCCGGGTGATCTCACCTTCAAAAACAATGGTAATCGATACAGTATGTCAGAAATAGTAATCGATACAGTATGTCAGAAATGGTAATCGATACAGAGTGTCAGAAATAGAAATCGATACAGAATGTCAGAAATAGAAATCGATGCGGTATGTCAGAAATAGTAATCGATAAAGAATTTCAGAAATAGTAATCGATACAGAATGTCAGAAATAGTAATCGATACAGTATGTCAGAAATAGTAATCGATACAGTATGTCAGAAATAGTAATCGATACAGAATGTCAGAAATAGTAATTGATACAGAATGTCAGAAATAGTAATCGATACAGTATGTCAGAAATGGTAATCGATACAGAATGTCAGAAATAGTAATCGATACAGAATGTCAGAAATAGTAATTGATATAGAATGTCAGAAATAGTAATCGATACAGAATGTCAGAAATGGTAATCGGAACAGTATGTCAGAAATAGTAATCGATACAGTATGTCAGAAATAGTAATCAATACAGAAAGTCAGAAATAGTAATCGATGCAGTATGTCAGAAATGAATTTCCCTGAACAATACAGCTGGTTCGTCCTGATGGGAATGATCAGTTATTTGTGGAATTTCAAAATAACTCTAAGGTACAATTTTGTTGAAACAAAAGAGGAGATGTAGGTTGTCGTTTGGGGTCTCCCCCATTAAGACCCCCGCGCGCGACAATATCCGGGCCAATACTAGTTATTAATATAAGTTTCATAATTGTTGTAAAATAAAAAATAAAATAACTTAATGTGTAAAACAAATAGTATTATTAATTTAAATAATTAGTAAAGTTTGTGTGTTACGAACCGTGCCGCTACTCAAATTGTATAATAGCCTTCGAAACAATCGTGACATTCGTACAGAGCTTGTAGAGACCAGCTAGTACTTTGACTGTATATGTGTTCTTATATAAAATAATCTGTATTAATGCTTGGTAAAATGAACACTGCTGCAGACAATGATTTACTTATAAAAAAATGTATGTGTGATGGTAACGTTATGTTTTGATAAAGCCATCCTCGACAGCTGTTAAAGAGAAAAGTCGTTCTTTATAGCTGTTTATATTATGACCATGCTATGTTTTTTTTATATATACGTTTGTATATCTTTGTGTGCCTTCATCAAAATAGCGCTTTGTTTTTTACTATTTATACTTTGTTTGCGAAAAGGGACATGGAAGACCTTGAAAACCGTTTTTTAGAACATCGTTGTTTAAAGCTGTTTATATTATGACCATGTTTATTTTTGGTAAAGGCGACTACATACAATCGAAAACTATTGCAAAAGATAAGTTTTCAAGTAGTTCAGTTTATGCTTATGGTTTTGTCAAAAACACATTCATATTCTTGATTAGTGTGATGAAGAGAAATTTTTTTAAGCAGTTTATGCAATGGTTATATTTCATTTGTTTGTTTTGGTTAAGACATTTGCGATGCCCATGAAATCCTTTGTTTCTGGCGGTTTAAATACCTTACAGCACTGTTAAAAGAACATGCATGTATTTCTGTTATAAAGAAATTCGTTGTTTATAGCTGTTTATATTAAGGTCATGTTGTTTTGTTGTAAAGGACACCGTTTAAGACTGTTATAAAAACAACTATATGTTTATAGCTGTTTATTCTATTCTGACGTTTTTGTCTAATATTCATTGTACATTCCTATTCCTGAATAATGGTATGATGAAACGCTGTTAATAACGGCTTATACAATAGTTGCGTTTCATTGGTATGTTTTTCAAAGAATGAGTATGACAGTTTAAGTAACTGGACATGTTTATCCTTCTTTTTTTTTCATAAAGAGGTCCTTTGTTTATGTTACCAAAAGCACTGTTAAAGGGACACACATTATGTTACAAATACACCTCTTTGTTTAAGATACGTATATGTCATATGGTTCATTTTACAGAAACCCATTGTCTTGTATGTTGCGTAATCAAGTGCATTCAAAATTGTTGATGTTGACATGTTTATTGGTCTAGTAAATACACTACTCAGCAGATACGACAAAGCTTCACCCTCAACGGATAGATTTTGAAGGTTGGATTCGCGAGTTACACAAACCATTCCCACCAGAAAGGTACATGATGTGTTTACATCTCAAAAGTGACATTAACAGCTATAGAAAAGCTGTCACCGTTGACTCTAGGCGCTTAACGTCAGCTTCAAACAGCTAGACTCTGTCCTTGAAAGGCTCAAACACTGCTACGTTGTTACTTCGCCATTTATTCAATCATGGCTACTATTCAAGCCAATCAGCTACACGGTTTGTTGATTATTTGGTTTTTCCTCACACAAACGTAGGCGATAATGGCAGGATAATTTACCCAATCGGATCAAATTCCGATTTCCTTGCGGGTAAACATATCATTGTTTTCAGATGACAAAATAATTCGAGTGATTTATCGGGAGATGGTTGGAAGATTAAAGTCATGATGCTATCATCTTGTTTTGGTTACATGTGGATGTAGAGAGTGGCAAAAGGTTAAACGTGGCGTATCGAACCTGGATTGTATAATTTACATATAAATAGCATTATTTACTAAAGGATCGGCTGTTTTATATTCAAAATGTAATTTCTTTTTCTCCAGATACAGGATAAAGGTGAACAAGCACATCCCCCAACTGACCCTATCGATGTTATTACTGACGAAATCCATAAGGAGGTCAGCGACGTCAATGTCGACAAAGCCGAACCAGAACGTTTAGACTCCGTCGACTCGGAACAACTCGTTGCGCCACGAGCGGAAGTGGAACAGTTTATAGCGCCACAAGCGGAAGTTGACGTCACAGACCTCGATGATCCCGATTTTATCGAAAGTCAGGACCAAAAAGAGGCTGAAGTTTCCGATACAATCAATATAACGACAAATGACAACGACAATGATGGTAAATTTGAAATATATGTATGTTCATGTTATAAAGCAATTATACATAGAAATGAAAACACGTACAAATTTAAAAATTCAGTATTAAAAACAAACAAACGAAACAAAAACAAAACAAAAACGAAATGAAAACATATGTATTCTTATTTTCTATGAAGCACGCGTTTGTAGTTTGATTGAAAATGAAAAGAAAGACGAAATTTACAAATAATATCCCAATTGTATCTCTTCAATCTTCCTGTTCCAGTCCTAACATCTCTGTACTTAATATTTTCTTTTATTCGCTATTGGAACAAGTGTAAATGTATTGGGTACTGACCGGATCCCAGAACTTCCTAACTTAAAACATTCTCAATCCCCAAAATCACATTTGTTTTAAGGATTTTATTTCCTCGAGAACTGATTGAATTAGAAAAGGAAATTATATATATTTTGTCAGTAAAATACCTCTTGACTTGAAATAGTGGAAATCTAACTTTCCTTTTTTTTAAAAAATATTTAGAGAGTTGAGCGGTTTTATAAATAGAAAGTTCGACAAAACAGGTCCACGTCATAGATGTGAATTTAGTCAGGATGGTTTCCCTCATAATGGGCTATAATTCTTCTGATATAAGTTGCCTTCCTATTCTTCTGAAATTAAACACATGATTTTTCTATAAAGCATGATCTGTGATTTATTATCTTTCTGCGACCCTACGACTTGATTTACTGAAAACCTCGCATGTATTATGATGTTTGTGTCTGTGTTGATGGACGCCTACACTAAAGTGCTTTCTTAGTTTGTCAGTAAATTGTTACCATTGGTGCATATTCATATATGTTTTTCATCGTCATATAACACGATACGATATCCCTAAATACAATCATATATAACCCACAACAAACATGTTTATGGCTTTTCCGTTGTTTTTTATCTATTCTTTTATTTGGTAAATGTCATTTAGATTTGGATAGCAGTTGTAACACTTTTAGACATTTCTCCTTCTTTCTTTTTACGATGCTGTAATAATGTCAAATATAAATTCATCATAGAGCGTTTCTTGGGAGGTCAATGAAATTATACTTTAAAATTCGGCAAAAACAACGACATAGTTTCTTTGCTGACCAAGTTCTGGTGAACAAGCTCTATTTGTTTATATACGTTACGATCATTCTGTGAAATTGTTTATGAAATATGATAGGCACGTTTAGGTAAACAACGTTGTTTTATTAAATTGTTATAATAACTTTAGTGATACTACACGAACCTTTTTAACATTCGTGCTACACATATTCGTCACATTTAATCAAAATTACACATTCGCAAATATCAGATAGAAACTATCCATTTTTACATAAACTGTTTTGGTAAGATATATTAACCTTTTTTCCCATTTCCCCATGAATGAATATGTAAACCAATTACTGTTCTAAACATGTGATAAGTTTCGTATTTTGTAGAACTAGGAATAGGTTTACCCGCATTTAGATGATTGACTGAACGGGAAAATGAAAGTAAATTTGATAATAAACTGATTTCCAGGTACTATTGGTAACAGGACAGACCCTTTTTAAACAAATATTACAAAACATATATCTGTGGATTCGGAATTGTTATCGTTGGTTTATAACTAAAAGTCGTACTTTGCACTGATGTTGGGTATATATATACTGTAGAAACAGGTGCACTGATGTTGGGGATATATATACTGTAGAAACAGGTAGCATGTTTCATGTAATGTAATTGGATATATCACTTGATCTGAGTTGTGATTACACTTGTTCTCAGTGTACCGATTCGCATCATGACCTTAAGCAAACCATACACAATCCTCATGTCCTGATGCCAATTGCTTTTCTTCTTCCACCTGAAGCATCGACACAAGAAGCCAGAAAGCCTAATACCTTCACAAAAAGCCGTACATAAGCAGTTCTGATGTACCACTTTTTCCTGTTTACGACCAGAGGCTCGAGGGGATTTTTCTAGTAATCTTCTTCAAACATACGTCGACAGGTTTTCAGCTATATTACACCCCCAAATCGATACAAGATTGATCTGGGTCTCATTTATATTCATTACATATAATGTGGTCTTCTCGTCGCTAAAAACGAATCCTTTCCAACATGTTCTTGTAAGTCAAATAATTATGCTATATGACCACTGTATTACCGGTAGGCTTATATGTAGAAGAATCTCGGGTTCTTTTCTTCAAAACGTGGTTGACCTTACTGATGGACTTACCGTCCCTGATGTTGGCCGTACCAATTTAGTTTGGGTATATTCTGGCACGGTCACTAGTTTTAGGTATAAATTATCTGTTTAGGCCATATGAAGGGTTTATAGACACATTTCCCTTTTCGCTGTATTCTACATGTGTTTCGGAATACGTTAGTTAAAGGTTTTTGTCACAAAAATACAAAATAGCAAAATGGTTCAATAAAATCTTTGCTTAGTTTGACTTTCTGCATCGACGAACAAAGTGTTTAAATAGGAGTTTCATTTCTCCCTATTTTTTGTTCTTATCCATCAAACACGTCACGATCATAGAACTTCGAGATAATTCAGTGTTCGAGATATTCGATTAGGAATACTTAAATGATATCCTGTAAGCATTTTTTTTGTACGAAATGTTCATGAGTATTTTGTAATTTTTGTGTCAGAATGGTTAATTCTAAGTCCGTAGGCAAGAAGACTTAGTTTGAGTTTTATCCTTTTTAATTTCAAAGGATAGTACAAAAACGATTTGTATTAAGTTGTCTTTATAAGCTGATAAGTTTTTGAAGAACCCGACCCCGTGTGAGCGATTATAAGTGTCTTCAATCTTGTATGAATATTTGTGTTTCATACAGTGTTACAGACATTTTTTATCACATGCACCTACAATCGAAGCCAGTTGCATCCGTTAAACTTAGCATTTTTCACCTTTATGCAAACCTGGAAAATGCACAGCTATATGTGAATGAACTCTTGTTTTCCAGATGCGATACTGGTAGTCCACCCGAATGGCAAAACACAGACCGTTGTTGATTACGTCAATGACATCATCGACGCAGCTCGTAAGCGCGCGGCCGAGGAGACGATTGAGGTCATCGATGACGTAAGTAAAAATACACAGCATGTATTCCACATTACACCTCATGAATGGTTTATCTTTTATTGATTCAGTAATGCAGAACTGACAAAATAGGAACTTTTCGTTTATTTGTATATAACTATCACCTAATGTATAACGAGTAAGTCAGCCGTGTAGAGGTTTGGTGAGGTAAATTGTAATAAGAACCTCCATGGTGGATTGCGGAGATTACGCACAACAGGGTTTCCGAGATTGTGTGTACAGTGAGGGCGGTAGAACGTGAGATTTCTGTGCTAATAGAATAGGCTTTGGGTAGTAATTGGCCTGGGGATTTCACGGCAGCTTCGCAGGATGCAATTACTGTGTGTGGGTGCCTAGATCCCGCAGACTGACTTATGTGTTCTCTATATATGGAATGTTTGAGTCTCCTCTGTATTTGTTAAACACTACATATCTAGACATCTGCCTTTATCCTTGGGATTTCTTCTTGTTTCCTCTCTCTGTGGGATCTAGACATCTGCCTTTATCCTTGGGATTTCTTCTTGTTTCCTCTCTCTGTGGGATCTAGAATTGTTCCCTTTCTAAGCGAAATGTCAATTTGTTCCTCATTGTTTCTTCCATATTGTCCTTTTCAAACCCGCCGTCTTATGCAAAGAGTGAAAAGATATTACCAAACAATATCCTGTAGATTTAATGAGATTTTGACCACTTCCTGTTACTGTACAGTTTCTAAGGTAATCAAGTTCCCGACTTTGCTTCAGAATCGGATTGACTAGGTTTTAAGTTCGCTAATGTATTTATACGTAATTGAAAAAGGTTAATGTTATAAAAAAAAACACTTCGTAATATTTCTATGCTGTAGTGTAGGTAGTTGACAGTGGACTGTCCCAATTGCTCGCCGCTGGCAGGTTCAGGGATGTTATAAAAGTATTGACTTGAGTATTTATAGGCGACCAATGAAGGATCGAAAGGCAGATTCATTTTTTTGGCTGTGCACCCTTTCATGGGAATAAATCAGAGAACACAACTGTTCCTTTGTCCTCTTTGCAACACTTGGTTCTTCTTTATTTTATTTTCCCTCTATCTATTATTTCTTCTCGGTGTTGTTTACCGAGAATTGCGGTACGATTACTCTGTAAAATCGCTCTTGAATTGTCCAAGATACCGTCTGCAAATGACTATGCGTCTTTTAGGACGCGAAGTTCTCATCTAAAATACAAAATCAACAATTTGTGTAATTAGAGGGAGATACTACTTGAATGTTCTGCTAATTGCACCCGTTTAAATTAACTGGGGAGTGTTTTCATCGCTAGTGTTTCTCTATGATGAATGCTTACGAAGCATTTCGAATTTAGCGGAAATTAAAGGGATCCACCATTGAAGAAGGAGTTGATGTTATGAATGCTGGAAGAGCTGTTTACACTTGCTATTTTCAGCAGTGTGATAGCCTTTGAAAAGGTCGGAGCTATTTTTGGTTTCTCTTTAACAGGCAGTCTGTCGCCAATACTAATTATGATACATGTATCGAAACAGCTGTCAGACCAAGACATGATCCTTTTTTGGCTGTGCCTAAGGTTGGCGTTAATCGCTCCTCTACTTTACATTTTTTAGCAAGAATTGCCGTTCATTAATATGCTTATTTCAGTATTCGATGTGCCACGAGAAAATTAAAAAGTAGATTCAGTTCAAATTTCTGAATTTATTTATCATCATCTTTATGATTCTGCTTCACATAAATGAGTTAAAGATTTCATTTGAAATATAGAATTATAGATTTTATATCTAAAATAACTTCTAGATTCAATTGAAATATTAATATGATTATATTCTTTTGCATTTGGTTAACATTTAATGTTACCAGACATGATATTTGTTTATTGTGCTATATCTGAAGATCCGTTACACATATATGTTTCTGTGAAATTTAAGACATCTCTCAAAAATCTCGCTTGAACAGCAAAGCTGATTATACTGATTACGCTTCACTTAACTGAAATGATATGTAACGGGGCGACAGATGGTGCCGTGTATCAATATATAGCAGACAGGCTAAAACCGTATATGTAATCGAACAATACTTATTTCAATTTTCTTTCCCAAATATTGTCCGTTATACATAAAACTTGTAAACTTGTTTTCAAACCGATATTTACAAGCTAGGAACTAAAATTGAGATTTCATAATAAACAAAAATTGATGGACGATAATTTTCCTGTGCAGACATTTGAGAGAATGAGTTGATCATTGTTTTCATGCAATTGTTGTCAGCTATAAAGTTAGCGCCGGTGACCCGAATTTGCGTACAACTTAATTAAAACAAGAGCAGGTGTTCAAATTAATTAGTGGAATTGCTTCATTTTTGGATCGTTAAATTAGTTGCAAACTGCAACACATTTTCATCGTGTTATAAAACTAGCATTTCTTAATGGCATTTAAAATTGGTGTTAAGAATAAAATATTCATCGACTTTGACTCCTGTAAATGTTTTAGGGCGGATTTAAATTGATTAATTGATCTGGATAGTATACGCGCCAATGTTTCCCGCACACGTGTCGAAGAATGTCTAATTATAGACAGACATTACAGCGAAATTAATTAAAAGCAGTGATCATGACGGTTCGCTCAGGTGTCCTCGGACTAATTAGTTTGTATGTGCCAGATATTGTTTTATTGAGTGTTACTCACCTTTCAACAAGCCAATAAAGCACAAGAAAACTCATGCTTTAGATTTCTTTAGAACAAAATTTACATTAAAATGTCGCCTCTTTTCGATTAACAGTAAAACCTCGATAATTCCCTTTTTTGCTTCCCTATTTCATCGTCAAACCCCTTTATAATGCCAAAATTTCTCTCCCTATTATTGGCAGTATACCCAGATTTTTCTGAATACATATTGCCACATGTGTTACTTTGTCCGGGGTATATCTTATATACTCTGTCACCTACAATATGCCAAAGTAGATATGTCGGTACCACGTTGATTGGTGTAGTGTCGCCTTCTGACGTCAAGTTTCATGGGCCACTATATTTAGAGTTATAGCCCCTTATTCAATTTCTATACCGATGTTAGTCTGGAGGTGTGGAATTATGGAATCCTCGCAATAGTTTGTCTCGTATTATTGATGTACGTAAACAATTGTATAAAGAAAAGTTTTACGTAAATATGAATGATGAACGGATATGGTAAAAAATCGTGCAAAAATGTCAGATACTGGATTATGTTGACCACAAATAACACAGTAAATATCACTGACCAGTGCTCACAACAATATTAAGAGGCTGATCGATGCTGACCACAATTACAGTCGTCGCTATCATTGATCACTGTCATCATGTACGCCAAATATATTTGCCCGACATCTTGTTCATTTCCCCTTCAGTCATTAAATCATTAAATATATTCGCCACCTCAGTAGACAATTCAATATACCAAAACGGTATAGCGTTAATGTAACGCCGAGTGACGGAGAACTCCGTTACACAAGTTCATGTATGTGGGAAGCCTCAAGCATCGGACGTATAAGGCCATACTCATTTCATCGTAGCGATATATCAAGAAGTCTTAGACTGAATGATTCGTTTTGGGTTTTGCAATTATACCCTCCTGCTTTAAGAAATAGAATTACCTCTTGTCTGGATTTCCAAATCAGATGTATGTTGTTGATAGGCCGAGTATGACGTCACAGGCGTTGAGATAGTTCACCCCAGGTAAACTAGTCGGTAGATTGGTTTCCTTTTATAGCACGGGGAATTATTCTGTATATTTCCAAAAAAATAGATCGATTGTGTTTAATCAATTGGAGATTTTCTATGAATCCATAATTTATACATCGGTTACCCGGAAAATTCATTTACCGTATAAAATATCTGAATTTACATGTAATAACAAAAAATTGGATGCAATATGACAAAATCTTAATTAAAGTCGCTATCAGAGAACAACAACGGGAACCGAAGAAAAGAAAAGAAAAAAAAAGAAAAGAAAAGAAAGAGAATACCGAAGTGCCAACAAAAACCATTATTCGTTTAACCTTTAAATATGACGTCATCGCCAGCACAACACCGGGAAAATAATCATAAGGGGCGGAGGTGGGGGATTGGAAAATGTTGTCATTGATCCTTTACATTCAGCAGTAATATTTGACAGAGTAGCGCAGACCGGAAGTGTAAATATGTCAGTGCAACGTGCTGTGGATATTGTTAACACACATTTAACTTTTAAATATGGCTGAGTAATATGACGTCATCGACAGCACAACACCGGGAAAATGATCATAAGGCAACCTGTTTATCGACCTAGCTCACGAAGCTCGATTCCTATCAGTAAGTTGGGGGGAGCAATTTGACCGTCTACAACCTCTCGAATACTTAACAACGATATTGATAATGGTCATCAATTTCACCATTAGCACTAGACTCAAAGTGTAGATGTCTAGTCAGTGACTTCAGTGGTCAACATAACGTAAACTGTTCTTAAGGATCACCCAGGGTTCATACAATTACAGGTTTATAGAAGAGCCTGAAAATAGGAGAACAAGTAGTTTTATAAACATTACATGTCATACATCCGCAGTGTTGCACGTTTTTATCATCGTCAGCCGCAACCAGGCGTTTTATAAACAATGCCCATCGCAAGCCACAAGCAGGCGTGTACCTGTCCATATGGTCTGTTTTGTCACACTATCATCATCATTAGTCGCCACCAGGTGTCGTTAAAATAGCCACCATGCAGTTGAAGTCTATGCCCCTACATACACTCCTTATCATCGTGTTTATTACGATCCGCCAGAAGCGAATGGCTTCATACTAGTTGATTAATTTAGCAGTGTCCACATTCTAGATAGGTTAGATCAAAGTGTTTCTAGACAATACAAATAATTAGGTCACCCTATTACATTTAACGCTGTTAAGAATATCTTTAATCTAGGTCTCTGAAAGTGTTCACATCACGCTATGGCGTTTAAAAGCAATTAACTTCTCACGACATAACTTTATCGAAAATATTTATTTTCTCGAGGGCTCATTTTTTTGCGGGTTGGAAAATTTGAGATTTTTTTCAATACATTATATCAACGAATATAATAACGCAAACAAATCTGATTCAGCAAAGAATTATTTTCATATGCAGGTGCAATTTGTATATTGTCTGAACCGAGACGAGGGGGCTCATAAACTCTCGCATAATGACCAGGTAGTAAACAAAGTCGAATAGAATCGTCGATTGATGCGTCATTTCGTACAAGTATATTACAGATGCTTATTCTGATTACTACGGTGGCTGATTTGTGCCGTTTCGTCTTTTCGCCCCGAAAGGACGTCAATTAAGAAACCCTAATTCTCGTTGAGGATAACTACTAAATGCCGTTTATCGCCCCGAGAACTAACGTTTCTTAATTTTCGTCGTTTCGGGGCGAAAAGACGAAACAACGAAATGGCACAAATCAGCCACCGTAGATTACTTTAAAAACTTATACATAACATTCACCTTTGTGTATATAAGCTTCACTGATCATTTGTCTGATGAAGGTGACAGGGTACATGGATGTACCTAACTAGTCATTGAAAGGTCACCCATAAACACTTACTGGTTGTGATAATAATCCTTCTACAATTCATACTACTTACCAACATGAAGAAAAATATATACAAATATACGTATATGTTAATGATAAAGTGTAGAAATTGCTAAAAGATATATGCTTGGTTCGATAGTTAATGGCACAGGTAAAACTGACCAGCAGGAGCAAGTGTATGTATAGTGAAGTCAGAAAGCTTTACGATAAATGAAGTGAAGTTTTCTTAATATGATCTGATATTGATTATTTTGAATCCAAGAAAATGTACATTTCGGTTTCAATTTAAAAAATTACCGATTCAAATTTCACATTTGATGCATCATTGAGCTATATGAAGCTTGATACAAGTAATTTCATTATATTACTACGGACAAGTAATGACTTGGAACACAATATATCTCGTATGCTGTTGTTCTCGAACCCAAGGTCATTTAGTTAGATATCCCCCCCATGGTCAATATATAAATGACTTCAGCTAGTTACTATGCCGTAGGGGTCAATTTCCTGACGGACAGAGACTCATCGTGAACGAAATGAATGTCCGTATTGCTGTGTGGTCAATAACATTACACAGTGCACTTCGGCCATTTAGTGGTCAGAAGGCAATAACAGCTACTTTGTCACTCCCAACTGGTCAGTTCAAGTCTTGGTCGAAGGCCAATAGTCCTGTTCATCATATAGAAATTGTGACCGTACAATTAACAGCGTCGAAACATGAAAAATGAGTTCATTCCCAATAATAAGGAAGCGAACCTGATTATTGACCAGCCCAACTTATGGTCTTGAAACTTACGTCGAATTGGGGCGGGTTATATTCCCGAAGATGCGGGCAACTAATGCTGGGCCATCAAAGATATCGTACTGTTAGAAAGAAAACAAAGGAGTCAACATCGTATCTGCACACAAGGACATAATTGTTGATACGAAATAAATACAGCAACAGAGTATTTCATAAATAAAAATTGTCCCTGTTCGAGGGTTTGTTACGTTAGCGTAAATAAACCTGTCACGAACGTTATATGTTTTACGTTCGAAATTTAAAAAAAATGCGTTGTGGGAGATTTTTTCAAAATGACACTCATGTGTACTGCTTTGAAGTGAATATTGTATTTAAAGTAGGTAATAGTAATTCTAAAAATAATCACCAAGCTAGGATTTCGTCGTATTTTCAGATCTAGCGATTGGACATACTTCGGCAAAAGATCTTTGTTGTAAATGCGTCTATTATTCTAACGCCATATTTCTCAGGATAGGAATTCACAAAACGTCCAACATTTTTGTTTAATTTTGTCTAAATGTATATTCTTAATATATATAGTAAACCCGCGATATCAGATTCCGACCCGGGAAGAAATCTCTGTTATTTGACCGATTTTCACCATTTCGTTATTTCGTTTTTTCACCTCGAGATCTCAGTTCCCGTTGTTTTTTTGGCAAAAAAGACGAGAATTAACAAACCTTTATTCTATTCTTTCGTGATTTTGTCCCAAAGAGACGAAACAATGAGAGTACAAAGTAACTTATTGTCGACTTTCCGGGGCGAAAAAACAAAACAACGAAATGGCACATATCAGTCAACGGCTAGGGTAGTGAAACTCAAACACATTATAAAAGAAATACATCTACTTGTTGTTATATATACATATACATGTACATGTATAAACATATAAAATATGTCAGTTCTGTATAAAAAAACGAGAAGAAAAAAAACTGAAAAAGGGCGCGAAAATTGATAGCACTTAAACTTTAACGTATCACGTAAAAAATCGATTTTTTATGAGAGTTTAACGCCTTACGGAGATGGGAAATTCAAGCTTACCAATGATATTTACTTTTGTCTTTTCAGAAATCGAAATCAAAGAAAGAAAAGAAAAAGTCCGGAGATTCAGGTGAGTAAGGCTGCCAACAAATCTTAACCTAGAAGACTTTAATCGACCGAAAACTTTCGTTTATAATATATATATTAAAAGAAATAATCAAAAAGGAAACAGAAAGAAGACTGTCATACCCTGCTATTTCACGAAATGGTTTGCATACGTATCTCAGTTGTAAAAAAAAGGTATAGACCGAAAACAAAACCGAAACAAATCACAATATATCAAAAAATACTATGTAACGTCGTCCTATTTCAAAAATTGGTGTATCAGTTCTTCGCGATAGCACGCGCTCTTATTGATTTTTCTTCGATATTGTTCAAATAGCAAAACCTCCAGTCACTTAATCTTTTTTAACTTGGTAACTTAGCTGATTGTTTATGCTGATTATTTTCAAACCAGTCTTTTCGAATCTTTAACCATCCGAAATCCTTTGTATTATCAATTACTTTTAGAGCAAAAAGTGTTTAGTTGTCTATTTATAAATTGTGATGAAGACAAGAAGGGGGAGTATTTTTGAATAGTCTTCGATAAAAAGAATGTACATGTACAATTTATAGTTGTATATTTACATTTGTGCTTCAACCCACTATATGAACAGTACCAGCAGAAATGCATTTCATTTGAATATGAAAGCAAAACATTCTCGTAACGTAACGTTTACACGTGGTTTACGTATGACGTCATCAATTAACCTTGTTCAATGAGAGTCGTGTCGCTTCGGATAACATGGAGACTGCCCCTGCGTCAAACGCTCAAATGACAACGGTAAATTATTGGTGCCAATTTGATTTAAATAGGGCTGTTCCGCCAATGTCGTTTAAAGGACAACGCATTTACAAAACGCCGTAATAAATTATGTTTTTAAAAACAAATAAAATTCAGCAACTGTTCTATATTAAAAATATAAATATATGGATTGAACAGCGTTTTTTTATTTATTTTCATGCCGGTATAAACGCAAACCGATTTTCGTTCATACCGGCATGAAAATTAAATAAAAAACGCCATTCAATCCCTATTTGGCAGCGGAACGCGCAATTTGAGATATTTGAGCGTCTCCTATTTATTACATGTATCAGTTCTACGGAGTTTCAACTGTTTAAACACCAAACACCTGGCACGTCCTTAAATGACCATAATAGGACATAAAACACAGACAAACCTAACCAAACTGTTTAAGGACTTACTTAATTTTGAATTTTGAATATATTTTGAGTTTTGCACACATAGATTACATTACATGGCCATATCATGATGCACGTCTTCCATTGTCAAAATACAATACAGACGTTTAATGTTTTTAATAAATGATCAAACGGCAACATCTTTATTTGTGGTCTTCTTTTCATTCTGGCGTGAAATGTTTTGAACAGTCGAAGATATTTTGGGAAAACTTGCGTACATAATATCACTATTAAATATACAGTGTTCAATGTTCCCCGTTCGTGGTCTTTCATGTTATGTCAATTGTCATTTTCTGATTAAATAGGCAATGAAGCAGTAGGGTAGATTTAACATCTTAGTTTTTCGTATCGAATATTCACATTTTTTTAACGTTTAAAAGACCGAAAATGGATTACTTTAAAAATTGGTTCAGTTTCACCATGGAATTAGATTGGAGGGAAAGGCAACTGCCTCTTCGGTATAGGAAATATGACCTGAGCACTCTGACGTTGCGAGAAACTGCGAGAAAGCGCGAGAGTTTACGTGCTTTGGGGGGGAAAAAACGCCGCTTCAATCTTTTTGGAAATTGATTGCCGGTGACAAATGATACATTGTTATTTTTTCTGTCGCCAGCTCAGAGTTTATATTTCAAAAGGCTACCGAAATATAAGGGAATATTTGAATACATGACATTCTTGCAGATATATGATATTTATTTATACCAATGTGCAACCCGAATTATATTTTGTTTACTTTTAATGCAGGAAGGAAAGGATCTCGACGAGGTTCCGGTCGGTCAGGCGCAGTTAGAGAACTCATATCGAGGCTCTTCCGGGTAAGTACGGTAACTCTGCTATCGTCAAGTAACATACTTAATAGTATGAGATAAACATATTTTGTTTCGGAATCTTTAAACATTTAACCGGTTGTGTGTTAGGTCAGTACCGGAAAACTGGAACAAGTCGTACGTCAGGGCATTCTCTTAAAGGCAACAAATGTTCAGCGGGAAAATATCGATCAGTAAGCCCAGCATCGATTTTTATAAAATTAAGGAAAATGAGGTGAGGGGAAACACCATTAAGTACATAAAATATAACAAGCTATTGAACAACACACAGTTTAGTTTCGTATCTAGCTGTTCGACTATCCTCCGGTACTTAGTCTTAGACACGTCGGCAGAGGTAATAGGTCGTGGTTACAAAACTTACACCATCTACACTGACTTGCATAACCGTTCGATACAGTACCACGTAAAAGAGTCCAGTTTTCGAAAAGAAAACTATATAGCATAACATGCAAAACTTTGTCATTGACAGAAGTCACATCAGGGATTGCACAAGGACAGGTGTTTTGCCACTCTTGTTTCAGTTCGTAATCTATATCCACAATCTCCGAAGGGTAGTGGACTCTATAGCTTACCTGTTCGCTCGCTGATGATACGAAGCTTTTTTCCCAATTCGTTCGAAAACCGAGGACCGAAATATCCTACATGATGACAAAAACAGTCAAAGATGGAGCGCTACCTGTCTACTCAAATTTTATCTAAGTAAATGCAAAAATACGCACATAAGGAAACATATACATTTGTCCTAGATAAAATGTCTGTCACGCATGAAACCTCGTTTGAACAAGATATCCGTCAGTCAAAAGATACCAAAAGGACACCGGAGTCACCACTGACTACCATCTCAAATTCCAGGAATATGTATGTGAGAAAATCAGGGAAGCCAATGCAATTGGACCAATTTCCAGCGATTCGACAAAGGACTATTCAAAATACGATAAAAACACCTGGTAGGACAAATCGGTAAGGTCCTCGTACAAAATCAAATATATAGAGGAAAATAGACAGAGTACAGAGAAAAGCTACCAAACAAAACCACTGCCTGGATTCCAGATCTATCTTGCCACTGCTAAGGGAGATAAAAAAAATCTGAAGCTATCAACGCTATCGTATAGACGACACTCGCTGACATAAATAAAATAACTGAAGATCTAGTGGTGGTCGGGTGACGCAGTGGATAGCGCTCTAGCCTTTCATCATAATTGTTGTAAAGTTAAAGGTTATATGAATATTCAAGACCACACAAGGTATATACGACTGCAAGGCATGCACGTTTGTGAAAATGTGAAATAATGTAACGGAAAGAAACAGCAATAGATCTAGGTCACGTACAGGTATTTCATATCAGTGAAAGATTTTAACAGCATAAAGTCTCCGGTTTACTTTATCGGGAAATCAGTGGCTAGACTAAATCAGATTTTTCTGACTAACGAAGTACTGGTTTACCATTTAGTGTCCGTATCAAGGTTCCGTTTTCCTTTAAATCACAGAGTCCGGTCTTACGAGGCTCCGTTGTGCTGAACTTTGATATTACGGCGAGTCTTTTCGCATTTCACCGATCGAACCATTCGAAAAGCTTGTAAAAACTAGATACGAAATGTACACATAATGTCGATTTCCAGAGATCAGATAACGTGACCTGTTTGACATGAAATGTACATTTCTGTGTGTCAGACGCTGGACCATATACATCAGCCGCATACGTCATAGAATCAGAAATCGATGTCAGTTTGAGATATATTTGATTAAGCTGTCAGAAATACACGCTAGTTGAATGATTTCATTCTTATATGTAAATACTTTTGAGAGCGAATTCATCATTGTGACAGGGCTTAGAGCTAATTCTGAAAGCTCAACATTGGGGAATATATATAAGTTACAACAAGATTACGTACTTGAGTCTGACCGACCAAAGGCACTACAGTTTAAGATAATAATAAATGAGCAAATTCATAAATCTTTGACTGCGAAAAACTTTGAAACTCGGAAATGGCGTGTGTTTTTGTAGGAAACGGAGATCATGTCTGCGGAACGAAATTACATTTTACGTAAATATAGGAGGTTTTTAAAAGAAAAAATATCCATCTTTCAAACGGTACTACGCATATTTGTACATCAACTAGAAATGTGGTTTTTGATGCAAGCAAGTAAGTAAGGATCGATTTTTCGAGAGCTTTCCTCTCTTCTCGTACATTATCATCATAGGGGGTTGCTTTTTTACCGAAAAACGTGTAAAATTACTCTGAACACCTTAGTTTAGGTCTAAATATAGCTCTAATAAATCTTCAGGTCCCTGTGGTCGCTCAGATAGGACTCAATGCTATAGGTCACGTGTCTCAATGACGCGTTACCGGACTAGGACTCAAAATTGAAGAGCACGTGTCTCAACGACTCGTTCCCGGACTAGCCCCCAGATAAGACTCAAAATTGAAGAGCACGTGTCTCAACGATTCGTTACCGGACTAGTACCTCAGATAGGACTCAAATTGTAGATCACATGTCTCAATGACTCGTTACCGGACTAGTCCCTCAGATAGGACTCACAATTGTAGATCACGTGTCTCAATGACTCGGTATCGGACCAGTCCCTCAGATCGGACTCAAAATTGTAGATCACGTGTCTCAATGCCTCGTTCCCGGACTAGTCCCTCAGATAGGACTCAAAATTGTAGATCCCGTGTCTCAATGCCTCGTTACCGGACTAGTCCCTCAGATACGACTAAAAATTGTAGATCACGTGTCCCAATGACTCGTTACCGGACTAGTCCCTCAGATACGACTAAAAATTGTAGATCACGTGTCCCAATGACTCGTTCCTGGACAAGTCCCTCAGAAAGGACTCCAAATTGTAGATCACGTGTCTCAATGACTCGGTATCGGACTAGTCCCTCAGATAGGACTCAAAATTGTAGATCACGTGTCTGAATGACTCGTTACCGGACTAGTCCCTCAGATAGCACTCAAAATTGTAGATCACGTGTCTTAATGACTCGTTACCGGACTAGTCCCTCAGATACGACTCAAAATTGTAGATCACGTGTCCCAATGACTCGTTACCGGACTAGTCCCTCAAAAACGACTCAAAATTGTAGATCACGTGTCTCAATGACTCGGTATCGGACCAGTCCCTCAGATAGGACTCAAAATTGTAGATCACGTGTCTCAATGACTCGGTATCGGACCAGTCCCTCAGATAGGACTCAAAATTGTAGATCACGTGTCTCAATGACTCGTTACCGGACTAGTCCCTCAGATAGGACTCAAAATTGTAGATCACGTGTCTTAATGACTCGTTACCGGACTAGTCCCTCGGATAGGACTTAAAGCTCTAGGTCTTCTAACACGTCTTTATTTCAACATCCTACTCAAGTTTGACTCAATGCAACTTACCAAATGTAACCTGTTTCATTTTCCGATGAATTTGACCAGATTAACGTTGAATGTGCGTCTTATTTTGCGAAGGAAGATAACTATTGACTTGTTTAAACAAAGAAGATACCATGCACTTGATGAGATTTTACATTTTGATTGAAGCTACACAAGAAATTGTTCAATACACCAAAAAACGATCAATCAGCAAAATAGTATCAGCTCGCGGTTGCTAGCGGTAGTGACAAGTCATGTACTGCCCTAGAAATTCTCCCTCCAGCTACCCATTCTGCCTCTTGTGTCAGTATCAGCCCCCGGTACAACGTAATTCCATGTGGACCCGTCTTATATGAAATGCCGTCGAACAGAAAACTGCCATATCAAATTATTTCGTCCTTTCAAGCAATGTCTGGTTTCCTGTCTAATTCGACATTCAATTAGTGCATCTTCAAATTTCAGAAGGTGTAGAACCTTGAAATTTAGCGGCTCTCCACTTCGAGCTAGTAAAAAGATGTCTGTCGTAGACTCACAGCGGAGCCTGCGCACCTCGTCTAGACATTATTCTTCCGCGACGACGCGTTAGAAAATTTGATATCTTATGAATTCATCAACAAAACTTAAAAATGACATTTAATATCTGATTTTGTGTTTTGTTTCTAAATAATTTGACTGTATTAAACTATAAACGTACACCAACATGTTGTATGATGGTCCTTCATTGACGGAGGGCCAAGTGAGCTTATGCCGTGGTGCGGCGTCCGTCGTCTGTTCATCCGTCGTCCGTCCGTCGTCAATATTTTATTTTAAACAACTTCTGAATAACCAAAATGCCCAGGGTGATGATATTTGGCCAGTAGCATGCTTGGATGAGGGGCTACCGAGTTTGTTTAAATGAATTACCTTCATCCATTTTCAATGTCACAGGCCACATATGTTTAAATCTTATAATAGGTTCCTATGAATCAAACCCTGATAATCTGCCTGTAGCTATATTTTAGTCCACTTTTAAGATTACAAGTGTGAAATTAATACCAGGTGAGCGATCAGGACCATTGGGCCTCTTATTTACATTACGTCAATGCGTAGACATGTACAAGCTCCAGAACATAGGGCAAACTATCAGAAGAATGGAATTCACAAGTTCCAATTATTGATAAAAACACACTTTGATTGAAATATAAGGTTCGAATCTTGCTTTGGTCGATTTCATGGGGTGATGAATTGAGTTGGTCTTCACAGTTCCTTAATGTTTTCTTCAAGGCCAACTCAATTCATCTACCCATGAAATCGAGCAAAGCTAGATTCAATCCTTAATTAGAGTTTGTAATACTGTAACAGACGTTCACTTCAACAACAAGCGTTCAACCGATTAAGCCAGCAAGGATTAGATTCCGAGTCCCTTGTATCCCTGAATCACCGTCACCGATGTTTACACATGTTAGACATAAATCTGGTAAAAATATCATGATACCACCTTCTGTAACGAAAAAAGGATTACTTAGACTAGAGTATGGCTTGTACTATTACCATTGTTTATTCTATTTATTTATTTATCTATAAATACATGTACATATACATTACACAATAGTATTTGGAAGATCGTGGAATTGCTGAAATTTGTTGCATGAAGGGACAGGTACTTTCAATAAATGAATAAATATTTCATAAATTCTGCTTTTAATTACACAAAACACAAAAATACCACAAGATTACTTTGCTATTCGGTGAATACTTAATGTATGTCATAATTTCCTATGGACATATGTCATATTGTGCTGTCTGTTGTTTCACGTCCTATTAACAGTAACGGACGTAGCGTCAGATGTTGACGAACAACAGTGTAACACACTTTTAACGTCATTTCGTTTTAGGTTTGACGTTTGTGGCACACGACCGGCTTTGTAAAACACGTGCTTTCAGAGCTATTGGAATGAAAATAGACATATGTAAAGCCTAATTATTTGACATTCATATGGTCACGGTTTGTATATGACAAGTGTAACCAATTTTGACAATGATCGAGTTGAACGTGAAGATAACGGTTAAGAAGTGAAAGAAAAATATGATAAAATAACGCTACCCGTATAAGTACAATCTGCTACCTTAATATCAACGATGATATGTACATGTAAGTTATAAAGCACATATTAATTAATAGAATAACATGCATATATTAAAATAATCCGTATTTTTTATTTGATTGAAGTCCGAGAATGAAAGCGCGCTCCGATTATAAGTTACATTGTATTATGACGTGATGTCATTTGTCATTTAGTCACACATTGACATTGGTGTTGTTAACCTCAGAGTTATTACACTGTTCACGCATTCCAATAAATAAATTTGAAAAATCACATACAAGATTGAATTTCGCTCATTACATTTTCCACACAGGCTAAAATGTCTAAATGTTCTCCTCCTTCAACTGTAATTTGTAATTGTGCAACCTGCTGTCCGTCAAAACGTACAACAATGGTTACTTTACCCCCACCCCCATCTGCGATATTGCAGGGGTTAGGCTAACTTACGCTCTCTGTGACCCTGGAATTTGTCATGAAAAATTTGAAGGCTCAGTGTACGTCACCTTGTAGATGAGACGAGAAGACTAGTTTGATACTTTGATGTACATTAAAAGAATTGCTCGGTCGCGTAACGGTAAAATTGACTGACTTTGTAGTTGGGTGTCGCATCTCTGTACTCCATTTTGTACATTGTAATGTATCTGAGGAACCCAATAAACATGAAATTTGTAAACTTCAAATGCCCTGGTATCGGCCTATCGATTGGTCAGATTTTTTTTCTACCTGAGACCGATCAAATTGCTAGCCGCGTGCCTTCAATTTTGCTTTGACATATTCCAGGGGTACAGAGAGCGTAAGTGAACGTAAACCCTGGAGTTTTGAGGATGCTTTGACCTCGCCAGGTCAAAATATAGGCCTTCTACCACCTCCCAACCGGTCTGGAAAGAGTTTCCCAGTCATTTTCAATACATTCAACAGCTAGTAATCACTAAGCTATGATGTGCTAGTGTTCTTGTTTTGTTTAGGACAGGAGATTAGAAATAGGCAGTAGGATTGATATTTGTGACAAGGGAGTTGGATTGGTCCATGTGACTGGCAGGTGACAATAGCTGTGCAGGATTGATCTACTGTATGTTGCAGGAATATGACAAACGTCGGTGGGGTTGATATCATTGTGACAGAAGGGTGACAATAGTCGTAGGGATTGATATCATTGTGACAGGAGGGTGACAATAGTCGGTGGGATTGATATCATTGTGACAGGAGAGTGACAAAAGTCGGTTGGATTGAAATCATAGTGAAAGGAGGTGACACTATTCGATTATATTGTGTGTGTTTGGGGGGGTTGTTACGCTTCCCGATTATCACCAGTTGTACCAAATTCTGATCCACTTGTGACTTTCAATGTTTGAAAATAATTTACAGATAATTTCAACAATTAAAACACCAACGCGTCTTCGTGTGTTCACATTATAAAACATAGCGCATGCTTATTAGTATCTACCAATATTCTTGCTGCGCCCATGTAGAACAAGCATCCAACTACCAGCATCCGCATCAAAGTATTACGTCACAAAAAGAGAATGACGTCATTGTGACATCATACGGGATACTTTTACTCTAAAATTCCTGCTTTTTTAACCTATGGAAAATGCTTCTTTGTGTCGAATGTACCTGTTTTCTGTAAATCAAAGTTGTAGAAAATTTGTTTTTGTTATATTTAGAAATATGCAAAAAAAGACGTGTCTTACACGGTCAATTTCCTATCTTGCACACCTTAAGATGATGTGGAAAACTATTACAACGATTCAACCATTTCCTTACAATTTTATAGTAAAAAATTACACGCGGTTTCGTCATCTTTTGCTTCCAATACACAGAGCTGAGTCATTGATGTATTTATAAGATATCCCTCTCTGCGTTTTCCTTTAAAGTGATTGACGTAACGTCATCATTCACCACGTAGTGATTTTTTTCTTACCAATATGTGCAAATAAAATCAATTCCCCACATGTTATTATTAAAGCCATCGACATCAAATTATCCTCAATGTTGTGGGATGTTTTCAAATTTAAAGTACCGATATTATACATATTTTTGTCTCTCCATTAAGAAGATATCACCTTTTCCCGCTAAAACCAGTTATTTCATTCACTCTGCTTATGCAAAAATTATGAAAAACTAAATCGTTAAATAAATGCCACATCCTTCAAACACAATATGTCGGAAATTTGAAAACGGATAATTAGAAAATTTACATAAAATGAAACCCTGAGATATTTTTAATACGTATGCATGTTTTGGCTGTTATTGCGTGTAAAAAACAACCATAGGACATTCACTAAAAATGTTAAATTTTGTTCATAAACAAAACAAGAAAATGACGTTCGAATTAATGTTTTCGACGCAAAACAATGTAGCGTTACATGACGGCTAGACATGGGGAAATCAATGCTGTGCAGCGGTGTTAGGGCACACGATATATCTAAGTTATGCTTCAAAAAGCTGAGTCAGAGAACTTGCCAATGCATGTTTTTTCATTAAAACAAACGGATGTGTCATTTCATTCGAAAGTCACAAATATGTTGTTTTTTTTTAAATGTCGCATTTTACGGACCGTTACATAACGGCTAGACCCAGTAATATCTTAATTACCCAAATACTGTCGCTCTAATTTCTATCAACTTTTGCAGATTGTTTGAATAGATTAAGAACTTGCACCAAACCGAATCCAGGCAAACGACATAACATATTCATCTAGAAATCATATTGCGAATGAACGCACATTTTGAACAACTAAAAACATTACACAAATGATACAAGTGGGTTTCCTGTATTTTTTGCAACTTTCAAAAATGATATCGACTTTCAAGTATCATGTTATTCAAGAAAACATTGTTATATAGCTTTAAAATTCAAACATCTGCAGAATGGGCCCATATTTTACTTTTAAATATTCATTTATTTAAACGCGTAACCCGTTTATGTTACACATTACATTGGAGTAATGGCGAATTTTGACGTTATATCGGTGATTATTAGGTTGCACTCGAAACTTTTATATATTCTAATGAAATATTCAGGTAGATAAAAAAAATCTGAATAAGATGGTATATAATAACATATATATTTGATCCTTATTCAGATTTTATATAGCGCTGATGTAGCGAAATCCGCGACTTTTCGTATGTGCGTCAACATCTGCCGTTACGTCACGGTCATTTAAGGGCGTGTCAGGTTTTGGTGGTGGAGGAAAACCGGAGTACCAAGAGAAAAACCACCGACCTGCGACCAGTACCTAGCGACTGCAAACGTAGACCTCGAACCCGCGTCCCAGTGGTGGAAGGCTAGTGGTCATTGACAGTCAGACGCCTTAACCACCGCGGCCTCCGGGATCCGTGGCGTCATACAATGATAATGAAATGACGTCACTTTCTTTCAGATTGTATGATTACTTTACGATGGAGACGATAGATAATGGATAAAGAGGAGGAAAACATTTTTTTTGATGGAAGCTCATTATGAACGTCTGTAAATAATAACGTTTTTCATTGTGAACATTTTTCATTTTCCTTTTAGCGGGAAGACATGGACACCCCGGCAGAAGGTAGTAACGGTATTGGACACTCACCAGTCGACAAGGAGACATCGGACAAACCGTCACCAGATAAAACGAAACCAAAGCAGAATAAATCCCATAGACGACCTCATTTTAAAAATCTTTTGTTTCAAAAGAAAAAAAAGTATCAAGTTTCAACCGAGGCTCTTGCCACGGACGAAAATTCAAGGGACAAAATCAAGAAGAGACAAAAAGTTAGCCGAGCTAATAGTTTCGGAAAATCTCTCAGAAACATTCTGTCCTGTTCATCGTCCGTTACAACAGTGTAGACGTCTCATCGTCCGTTACAACAGTGCTTATGTGTTAACATCAAACAAATTTTGTATTTTCTCACAGTTATTTGCATTTAAAACAAACCTAGTGTCAATTCAGATTAGTCATTTTACGCTTGAATTACCCAAAATCCTAGCCGAGCATGCGCCGTTTCCATGGAGTAAAATTTCGAACCTATGTCAGCATTTGCGTTTCAGATGTTTCGTCTTGTGGACCAAAAGAGGTAACCTTGTGTTAGATAGTCAGTGCCACAAAATGAACTAAATGCAGATATTTTCAAGTTCGTTTTGAATTTATAGTGAATATACCTAATATGTGAGAACACACGTCAAATTGTGTCTCGTCATAATTTCTTTGGAAAAAAGGCAAAAAAAGGATATGGTGAGTCGTAAATATGAAAACATTCTCAAGCAGGAAGTACGAACGAACTTGTGGATAAACTATTAAATTCTCAAGGGTACATGAAAAAATCTAACAGATACTAAATATAAGCAGTGAACTTTTAAAAAAAATCTCTGGTTTCATATTCTTTTAATGTGATTGCAATAATGTAAATAATGTACATGTAACATGGTCAGTGTTATTTATCACAATTTAGGTGTAAAAGGAAAGAAACGACTGTGAGGAATTTATTACTTGTCGATCGTAAACAGCGAGCATTCCCTGTGAAACTTGTTTAATAGTTTATAAAAAGTAAATGTGAACTCAGAAATTGGTTTCACTTTTTCTGCTACTGGGATACGCTTATGGCCCCTGTAAAATATGTCGCCGTTATCCTGTGTGTGTGTGTGTGTAAATATATATTTGTATTTCTAATGAATGAGTTCAAAAATCTCTATTTTTGTAACAATATAATTGTACAGAAGTCACCGAAGATGTTTTCATATAAAATTGGTATACGGAAATTGCCGAAGATCTTGTTCGTATAACCGAGATTTATCGAAGAGCTGTTACGTACGAAAGGTTAAAATTGATAGTGAATAGGCCTTAAAAACCACAATTGAATCAGTTCAAGTTGCAGGAATAAAGTGAGGTTTTTTTTAATCTTCAAAAACGAAAATGATATATTCAGGCAAAAATATATCACTTTATTAAATCTGCTGCCTGCGGTTTTATAGTTGTAATTCCTCTAAAATTATTTGTATTTCACGAAATCAATTTTTTAAATATTTATGAATAAGTACGATGTAAAATTAATATGACTAAAGAATTGTCAACTTATTTCTTTAAGTTAATTCCTTTATGAAATCTTTCTTTTATTATATATAGGGGAAAAAGACAATTTTCATACCTTTTATACAAAAATCGAGAAAAAATATCTATATTTCTATTTTCTACGTTCATATTAAAATGAATATGAAATTGTTGTTACGACAACTTATGTATGTTTGTGGTGTTTTGTCGGTATAATTTCACACGGAGTCAATTTGTCATCAGAATGGCCGTTATACAATGTAGTAGGTAGCCGTGTTGAATATAAATCTATTCGACTATTTTCTTGCTCTAAAAGAATCTAGAAAGTGTGAACACGTTTATATGATTCATATTGCTATCCTAAACGTAAAAGGGGAGATAAGTTGATCTGAACTGTGAGTGTTGCATAGCAACAAAAAATATGGCGCTTTTCATGTAAGCTTCTCAGACCTGATTTCATTGACGAAACATGTTTTATGTCATCTATGGTTTTTATGCTGGAAATATGAGTTCATATTAAATGCCTTGACTTCATATAATATATCATAAAATAATACAATATAATATAATTTGAGATAATAAAATTTAATATATATATCGAATATGAAACTATACATGTAATATGACCTCACATATGTTAAGTGAACACATGTAAATTTCTAAATTACGTTAACATGATGTAGAACAACTATATAATTATTTCACGTGACCTTTGAGTACATATCATGTGAACTACAGATGACGTCACTTTACCACGTGTGTAATAACTTCAGTATGACGTCACGATATACCAATGACATATCACGTTTATTTGTAACCTTGACCCTTGTATTGACGTGTGGAATCCTCCTTGCTCGTCAATGATCCTCCATGTTTAGTTTAGTTATGCGTGGTTCTAGTCCAGATCAAAGAGACGTATGAAGTGATCAGTAGTGGACGATGAGTCTTCAAACATCTCAGTAACATAGACGGTCTCGCACCTTTTGACATGTAGCACTGCCTTTCGTTTATATTTCATTGATGAAGTTTACTTTCAATATGTATTTTTTAAGCAAATGTGTTTGTCATAGCCATTTGTAGGATGATTATTTTTTTCACCACAGTCAGCATGGTATTTTAAGGATCCCTGTACCACTGACAAAAACTATATTCCGGCATCACTATAGCTTCGATAAATGACTCTGGGGGAAACACATACGTTGCGGGACAAATAAACAACACAGAATCAACTTTAGTGTCCTGAGTGGGAAAATAATAGGCGAGGCTAGACCAAGGTTCGAACACCGGACTTCAGATTGTTGTACTATCGGTCTTATCAATTGAGCAACCTAGTCAACGGAAGTGTCCTGGCAGCTATATCAAAAAAGAAGTTAAAGGGAGGTTACTGTTTGTACGAAAAACCAGTGTAGTGGGGCAGGGATCCTTAATAGAATCTAATATTACATCGAGTCTCTTATCAGTTTTATTCGCTCTTATCAAACAAGATTCTGATTTTTTACGGAAATCTTAAAACCAAACTTTCGACAAAATTATGATTTTGCCACTGTACGTAGTTTGCAATTTTTGAATATATTTTTTTTTTACATAAACACGAGATATCTCGATTTGCGCGAAAAATGTTTTCACATATTGAAAGATTTGAAAGCGAAAGTTTCAATAACAAACTTAATTTTTGTGGAAAATTTTAATGTCATATAAGTAAACTCAGTCTGAATCTTATTTTTACAGAAAGTAAGGCCTTCTGCTGTGAGTACTTCACTGTCTGCAAACGAGCGAAAAGGAATGTCTTTAGTCATGCGTGTCCCGTTAAACATTATTCAAATTCCTTATTCGAAGCATTGATGTTGATGTTCGTTTTTCTTATAGAGAACAATAATCACTGTTCCTGTGTCCTTTTCAATAATCGGATTTTTTAAATTTATATCGCAGATTGATTTTACGTTGTGTTGATGGTTCCGAGCCCCGACATCAAAGCCACATTTATATACAATATTATGTAACATTAATACATTACAGTTTTGCTCGCAAATTATTTTCAAATGTTTTGTACAAACATGGTTTTGTTTTAACATGTCTTCACAAAGAATAAAATGTCGTTTTCAAAATATGAAATTGTTTTCACATGATTTATATGTTCATAATGAGATAGCACGTGTCCCATTTCAGTTGAAAGTATTTAATGAAGGAGTGAAATCCGTCCGTTCTTTACGTTTCCCATTGCAGTACACTATCTAGTTCTGATATAACGTAGTTTGAATGAAAATTAATACTCAATGAATCACACACCGGTTCAAATATCAATAATTAGTTTAATTTGTTTAATGAATTCATAACTGCTCAGCATTACTCCATACAGTGACACATGAAAGTTGTGTCGGTCTATTAAGACAATAAGATCATACATTGACACGAAAGTTGTAACGGTCTATTAAGACAATAAGGCCATACTGTGACACACGAAAGTTTTAACGACCTATTAAGACCATCAGGCCATACAGTGACACGAAAATTTTAACGGCCTATTAAAACAATAAGATCATACAGTGACACATGAAAGTTTTAACGGTCTATTAAGACGATAAGATCATTCAGTGACACACGAAAGTTGTAACGGCCTATTAAGACGATAAGATCATACAGTGACACACGAAAGTTGTAACGGTCTATTAAGACAAGACGATAAGATCATTCAGTGACACACGAAAGTTGTAACGGCCTATTAAGACAATAAGATCATACAGTGACACTAGAAAGTTGTAACGGTCTATTAAGACGATAAGATCATACAGTGACACAAGAAAGTTGTAACGGCCTATTAAGACAATAAGAACATACAGTGACACACGAAAGTTGTAACGGTCTATTGAGACGATAAGATCATACAGTGACACATGAAAGTTGCAACGTTTTATTGAAACAATAAGGCCATACAGTGACACACGAAAGTTGTAACGGCCTATTAAGACAATAAGGCCATACAGTGACACACGAAAGTTGTAACGGTCTATCAAGACAATAAGACCATACAGTGACACACGAAAGTTGTAACGGTCTATTAAGACAATAAGATCATACAGTGACACGAAAGTCTTAACGGCCTATTAAGATAATAATATCATACAGTGACACACGAAAGTTTCAACGGCCTATTAAGATACAGTAATAAGATCATACAGTAACACGAAAGTTGTAACGGCCCATTAAGACAATAAGATCATACAGTGACACAAGAAAGTTGTAACGGTCTATTAAGATACAGTAATAAGATCATACAGTAACACGAAAGTTGTAACGGCTCATTATGACAATAAGATCATACAGTGACACACGAAAGTTGTAACGGCCTTTTAAGACAATAAGATCATACCGTGACACACGAAAGTTGTAACGGCCTATTAAGACGATAATGCCATACAGTGACACACGAAAGTTTTAACGGTCTATCAAGACAATAAGATCATACAGTGACACATAAACGTTGTAACGGTCTATTAAAACAATAAGACCATACAATGACACACGAAAGTTGTAACAGCCTATTAAGACAATAAGATCATACAGTGACACACGAAAGTTGTAACGGTATATTAAGACAATAAAGCCATACAGTGACACATGAAAGTTATAACGGTCTATTAAGACAATAAGATCATACAGTGACACGAACGTTTTAAAGGCCTATTCAGACCATAAGGCCATACAGTGACACACGAAAGTTTTAACGGTCTATGAACACAAAAAGATCATACAGTGACACGAAAGATTTAACGGCATATTTAGACCATCAGGCCATAAAGTGACACGAAAGTTGTAACGGCCTATTAAGACAATACGATCATACAGTGACACACGAAAGTTTTAACGACCTATTAAGACAATAATATCATACAGCGACACACGAAAGTTTTAACGTCCTATTAAGACAATAAGATCATAAGTGACACACGAAAGTTGTAAAGGCCTATTAAGACGATAATGCCATACAGAGACACACGAAAGTTCTAACGGCCTATTAAGACAAAAAGATCATACAGTGACACGAAAGATTTAACTGCATATTTAGACCATCAGGCCATAAAGTGACACGAAAGTTGTAAAGGCCTATTAAGACAATAAGGCCATACTGTGACACGAAAGTTTTAACGGTCTATGAACACAACCCGATCATACAGTGACACGACAGATTTAACGGCATATTTAGACCATCAGGCCATAAAGTGACACGAAAGTTGTAACGGCCTATTAAGACAATAAGGCCATACAGTGACACACGAAAGTTGTAACGACCTATTAAGACCATCAGGCCATACAGTGACACACGAAAGTTGTAACGGCCTATTAAGACCATAAGGCCATACAGAGACACACGAAATTTGTAACGGCCTATTAAGACAGAAAGATGATACGGTGACACGAAAGTTTTAACGGCTTATTAAGACAATCAGATCATACAGTGACACACGAAAGTTGTAACGGCCTATTAAGACAATAAGATCATACAGTGACACACGAAAGTTGTAACGGTATATTAAGACAATAAGATCATACAGTGACACGAACGTTTTAAAGGTCTATTCAGACCATAAGGCCATACAGTGACACACGAAAGTTTTAACGGTCTATGAACACAAAAAGATCATACAGTGACACGAAAGATTTAAATGCATATTTAGACCATCAGGCCATAAAGTGACACGAAAGTTGTAACGGCCTATTAGGACAAAAAGATCATACATTGACACACGAAAATTATAACGGTCTATTAAGACAATAAGATCATACAGTGACACACGAAAGTTTTAACGGCCTATTAAGACAATAATATCATACAGCGACACACGAAAGTTTTAACGGCCTATAAAGACAATAAGGCCATACAGTGACACAAGAAAGTTGTAACGGTCTATTGAAACAATAAGACCATACAGTAACACACGAAAGTTGTAACGGCCTATTAAGACAATAAGACCATACAGTGACACACGAAAGTTGTAACGGTCTTTTAAGACAAAAAGATCATACAGTGACACTAAAGTTGTAACGGCCTATTAAGACAATAAGGCCATAAAGTGACACACGAAAGTTGTAACGGTCCATTAAGACAATAAGGCCATACAGTGACACACGAAA